GGTCAGTGTCAGAGTCAGGGTTAGTTTTAGACTTAGTTTTAGGGCTATTTGTAGTGTTAGCATTTGATTTAGGTTAAGGGTTAGGATTAGGGCTATGGCTTGGTTTTGGTTTATGGCTAGTGTTATGGATAGGGTCAGTTTTATGATTAGCATTATGGATATGGGTAGTGTTAGGGTTTGGTTTAGGCTTATTGTTAAAGTTAAATTTAGAGTTAGGTTTAGATTTAGACTTAGGCTTAGATCCAGGTTTAGGAATAAGTCTAAGTGTAGAACTAGGACTAGGGCTAGGGCAAGAGTTAGAGTTAGTCTTATGGCTCGGTTTAGGGTTAGGATAGGATTAAATAAAGGCTAGGATTAGCATTAGGCTTTGGGTTAAGCCTAGGTTTAGGGCAAGGGTTAGAGTTAGGTTCTGTGTTAGGGTTAGGGCTAGGTTTAGGGCAATGGTTAATGTAAGAACTAGGGTTACCAATATGGTTAGTTTTCGTGTTAATATATGTGTTAGATTTAGTGTTAGGGTTACATTTAAGGTTAGGGTGATATCTTTAGCTAGGTTTTATGTTAGGATAGGACTCAGAGTCAGGTGGAGTGTTAGGGTTATTGTTAGGACTCGAATTAGGGCTAGGGTTACTTTTATGGTTCAATTTAAGGTGAGGGTGGTGTTTGGAGCTAGGGTGAGTGTTAGGATATGAGTCAAGGTCAGGGTTGGTTTTAAGGTTAGGGTTAGGACTCGAATTAGGGCTAGGGTTGGGTCTAGTTGTAGTGTTAGTGTTTGGTTTAAGTTATGGTTTAGGATTAAGGCTAAAACTTGGTTTTGTTTTAGTCCTAGGGTTAGATTAGGGCTAGTGTTACTGTTAGGCTTAGGCTTAGTGATTGGGTTAGGGTTAAATTTGGGTATAGGTTTAGATCTAGAGCTAGGGACAGAACTAAGGATAGGGCAAGTGTTATGGCTAGGTTTAGGGTTATGGTAAAGGATAGGGTTAGAACTAGCGATAGGGCTAGGGTGAGAGTTAATCTTAGGGCTAGGGTTAGGGTTAGGGTTAGAGATAGGGCTCAATTAGGGCTAGGATTAGGGCTAGATTTAGTGTTTAGTTTAATCCTAGGGTTAGGGTTAGGGTTAGGGTTTAGAGTTTAGGTTTAGAATTAGGCCAAATTTGGGGTAAGGGATGGCTTTTTAGCTATGTTTAGAGGTAGGGTGAAGATTATAATGAGGATTAGGACTATGATTATTTTTAGCATTATGGTAAAGTCTAGGTTTATGGCTAGGATGAGGGCTAGGGTACTTTTTTTTAGGGTTAGGGCTACGATTAGTGCTAGGGCTAATTTCAGGTCCAGAATTATAGTTAAAGATAGTTTTAGGGTTAGGATTATGAGTACGACTATTTTAAGGGTTAGGTTTAGGGTTAGTGTCAGGTTTAGAGCTAGGGGTATTATTAGGGTCAAGTTCTGAGTCAGGGTTTGGGATAGGTTAAGGTTTAAATTTAGGGCTCAAATTAGCATTAGGGTTTTGGTTGTGGTTATGGTTATGGTAATGGATACAGTTAGAAATTAGTTCAGGGCTAGGGTCATGGTTATGATTAGGGCTAGGTTTGGGTTAAGTTAGTGCTAGGGTTAGGGTTATGGCTAATGTAAGTACTAGAGTCATGATTTTGGCTAATTTTAGTGTTTTATGGCTAGGTTTAGTGTTATAACATATATATTAGATAAAATCATTTTCATGATATATATAATATATATCTAATATATATTAAATAAAATTATTTTAATTGTTATATATATATATATATATATATATATATATATATATATTCCTTTTAATTAAAAAATATTTATTAAATACTTTTATAGGTTTCCATTTTTTTGGAATTTACATCACTAGTAAGAATGTGTGTACAATTTTACTCTACATCTGTATCAGTGTCTTGATTTACATCTATGAATTTTTACAGCTTTTTGTTATTTTGCAGGTTAGACATTCATATTTTCTTGCTTGCTTTGTTTTATATCTTAGAATTTATTTTTTAATAAAGGCCTACTTCAGGCAGTACTTTTTTTTACCTAAAAATAGCTTTACTATAGTTATTCCAAAACCAGGCATCTAGAGCACACCTGCAGGCCAAGCTACTCAGTAGGCTGAGGCAGAAACACTGTAAATATGAGATCACTCTGGGTAACTTAACGATATCCTCTGCCAAAGGGGGGGCAGGGGAGGTTGGGGATGCAGTTCTGTGATCAACCCACCCTAGGTTTATTTTCTTGTACAAAAAATAATGATTGTAAATTATAAAAAAATTATATCAGATCAAAATAACCTGTATGGCTTTGAAGGGTCATGTGTATTATTTCTCCCTATGTCTTCATTGTGTTTTAGCCTTTATTTCATTTCTGTTTATTTTGTATATCACACCATTATGCTATGGTTGTTTTTATTTTTTCTGATTTCAATTTGTTGATAATTCTTTTGATGAATTCCTATTTAAAGCACACTGTCCCTTTTATCTTCAAAAATATGTTACATAGTGCCCTCTCTTTAAAAATATTTTAGCAGCAATATGTGCATATTCCCCATTAACTTGAGAAGCTAGGTCAGCAGAATTGCAAGTTGGTGGCCAACTCTCAAAATTTTGAAAATACTGTTTCTCAAGTCAAAAAACATAAAGGAATGGTGAATAGTCAGAAGTAGAGTGTCCCTGAGTTCAAATCCCTATACCATTGTTTTTCTGGTAGTAAGACTTGGAAATATAACCTGCCTGGAACATGCTAAGCAAGTACTTTGCCAATAAGCTACATCCTCAGCTTCCTATTTAGCAAATAAAGAAATTGACACAATGAGTGAGATGTCACATTAAGCCCAACAGGAAAGCTCAATTTAAAAATCAAATGAAAAAAACAATAAAACCAAAACAGTTGGTGATAATTTAGAGAAATTGGCACTCCAATAAATTTCTGGGAAATGTAGTATGGCATACAGTGTATACAATATACAGTGTATACTAAAATATTTGATATTTCAGTAATTCAGTATAGAATCATCACATGACCTACCAACTCTACTCTCAGTCCTATACCCAAAAGACCTGAAAATATACACACAAACACTTGCATATGATGTTCATGGCAGCACCATTCATGCTAGCCAAAAGTGAGGAGAATCCAAATCCATGAACTGAAGAGTGGATAGTCAAAATGTGTTCTGCATATGTGCATGCTACAACATACATAAATCTCAAAAATGTTAAACTAAGTAAACAAAGTAGTGTCTGTGTGTGTGTGTGTGTGTGTGTGTGTGTGTGTGTGAACTATCAGGGATATGTAAACTCACAGACCCAAATGAAGAACTGGAAGCCAGGCCCTGGGAAGCCAGGGGGAAGAGGTTTTATTTAATGAATACATGGTTTTGTTGTAGTGATTAAAAGATTAGGAAGAAGATAAAATATTCAAGAGCAGTAATATGAATCACTATTATCAGATTTTAAAATCAAAATCAAACAAACAAATAAACAAACAAAACCCCAGAAAATAATTACCAAAAAAAATCTTAAAGTCTACTTAATTGTAGGGAATACCAGCTCTTGGTGAAATAAAAGCACTGGGTATCTATATATTCCCTCAGGTACTCTGGATTCCAGACTTAAATCTTGGCTGGTAACTCCAGCAATTTGAAGCCTACTATATATCAAAAGCTATATCAGTTTCTTTATATACTTTAATCCTTACCTTTCTCCAAGGTCTCACATTATGCTTGGAGAAATTCTCACCTTTTATATCAATTTGCTGTCAGTGATTGACCTAGGGTTGCTTAACTACTAAGCCAATCTGTAGCTCTTTATATTTTTCACATTGAGACAGCCTCTTGATAAGTTGCTTAGGGACTCACAAAGCTGCTGAGGCTGTTCTTGAACTTATCATCCTCCTGCCTCAGTCTCCTGAGCCACCTACATTACATCCTGTGCCACTATGCCAGGCAGAGTTATGCTTTCACAGATGACTCAATTAAGGAAGATTTTTCAAAGTTCACCTGCTATGCAGACCAGGGATATGACTACTTATATAAATTGCAAAATATTCTTCTATCTATGATGATAATTTTTTTTTCTGAGTTGTTTCTATATGAAGGAGGAGGGAAGAGGCAGAATTTCCAAAAGGGCACAAGGAACTTGTTGGGTGTGATGTCAATGCTCACTGTCTTGATTATGGTAATGGTTTTATGTAGATACAAATATATAAAAACTCAATGTATTGATAATTCAATGTGTATAGTTTATTGTATGTCAGTTTAACCTATTTTTTTAATTAATAAAAGATCCAAGGAGATATACCAACAAATATAGATGACAAACAAGGACAGAAAAACATGTTCAACATCATGGATCACACTGAATTGCAAGTAATGCACCCATAAGCATGGCTGAAATTCCAAAATCTGACAATACAAACTGCTGGGCAAAGGAAGAGGAACAAGAGCAACTCTTATTTATGGCTAAAGGGATCACAAAATTGTACAGCCCATCTGGAAAGAGAGTTTGACAATTTTTTTAAAGCCTCAGTCTTACCATATATCTATACACCACATAATAGGTGTTCATTTATTGGAGTTGAAAGCTGGAGTCCACATAAAATTCTGCATGCAAAGGCTGATAATTTTTTTTTTTGATTGGGGATGTGGCTCATTGGTAGAGAAATTGCCTAGCAAGCATGAGATTTCAGGTTTCACCCCAACATCACACACACACACACACACAAAAAAAAAAAAAAATGTAACTTGTTTATTCATAGTTTGCAAGAACATAAAGCAGTAAAGTCATCTGTTAGTAAGTATTTACATATTATTAATCAAAAAAGGAACTCATCAATAAATTGGAACATGATTCAGCCAAAAAACATTAATAAGCAAACAAATATGGAAAGATGATGAGGCGGCTCTTTCCTGGGTGGGGTTTGTGAAGTCGTGGCCCATTAGCAGGAAGCCGAGCAGTCTCCCCGACGCTAGAGAGGGACCCAATCCGAGCCCCCGGCCCCCGGAGTCTGAGCTGTGGGTACTACGTGCTCAGCGCTGCCCGACAGTTTCTAGCCAAACTTCCTCAACTCCGCCGCCTTTGCCGCCACCATGCCCAAGACGATCAGTGTGCGTGTGACCACCATGGATGCAGAGCTGGAGTTTGCCATCCAGCCCAACACCACTGGCAAGCAGCTGTTTGACCAGGTGGTGAAAACTATTGGTCTGCGGGAAGTTTGGTTCTTTGGTCTGCAGTACCAGGACACTAAGGGTTTCTCCACTTGGCTGAAACTCAATAAGAAGGTGACAGCACAGGATGTCCGGAAGGAAAGCCCCCTGTTCTTCAAGTTCTGGGCCAAGTTCTACCCTGAGGATGTATCTGAGGAATTGATCCAGGACATCACCCAGCGCCTGTTCTTCCTGCAAGTGAAGGAGGGCATTCTCAATGATGACATTTACTGCCCACCTGAAACTGCTGTGTTACTGGCCTCCTATGCTGTCCAGTCCAAGTATGGTGACTTCAATAAGGAAGTTCACAAATCTGGCTACCTGGCTGGAGACAAGTTGCTGCCCCAGAGAGTCCTGGAGCAGCACAAACTCAACAAGGACCAGTGGGAGGAGCGGATCCAGGTGTGGCATGAGGAACACCGAGGCATGCTTAGAGAGGATGCTGTCCTGGAATATCTGAAGATTGCCCAAGATCTGGAGATGTACGGTGTGAACTACTTCAGCATTAAGAACAAAAAAGGATCAGAGCTGTGGCTGGGGGTAGATGCTCTGGGTCTCAACATCTATGAACAGAATGACAGACTGACTCCTAAGATTGGCTTCCCCTGGAGTGAAATCAGGAATATCTCTTTCAATGATAAGAAATTTGTCATCAAGCCTATTGACAAAAAAGCCCCAGACTTTGTCTTCTATGCTCCCCGGCTGCGGATTAACAAGCGAATCTTGGCCCTGTGCATGGGGAACCATGAGTTATACATGCGCCGCCGTAAGCCTGACACCATTGAAGTGCAGCAGATGAAGGCACAGGCCCGGGAGGAGAAGCACCAGAAGCAGATGGAACGTGCTCTGCTGGAAAATGAGAAGAAGAAGCGTGAAATGGCAGAAAAGGAGAAGGAGAAGATTGAACGGGAGAAGGAAGAACTGATGGAGAAGCTGAAGCAGATCGAGGAACAGACTAAGAAGGCTCAGCAAGAACTGGAAGAACAAACCCGCAGGGCTCTGGAACTTGAGCAGGAACGGAAGCGTGCTCAGAGCGAGGCTGAAAAGCTGGCCAAGGAACGTCAAGAAGCTGAAGAGGCCAAGGAGGCCCTGCTGCAGGCTTCCCGGGACCAGAAGAAGACCCAGGAACAACTGGCTTCAGAAATGGCAGAGCTGACAGCTCGGATCTCTCAGCTGGAGATGGCGACAGAAGAAGGAGAGTGAGGCTGTGGAGTGGCAGCAAAAGGCCCAGATGGTACAGGAAGACTTGGAGAAGACCCGTGCTGAACTGAAGACTGCCATGAGTACACCTCATGTGGTAGAGCCTGCGGGGAATGAGCAAGATGAACAGGATGAGAATGGGGCAGAGGCCAGTGCTGATCTGAGGGCGGATGCTATGGCCAAGGACCGCAGTGAAGAGGAACGGACCACTGAGGCAGAGAAGAACGAGCGTGTGCAGAAACACCTGAAGGCCCTTACTTCAGAGCTGGCCAATGCCCATGATGAATCCAAGAAGACTGCCAATGACATGATCCATGCTGAGAACATGCGACTGGGCCGAGACAAATACAAAACCCTGCGCCAGATCCGGCAGGGCAACACCAAGCAGCGCATCGATGAGTTTGAGTCCATGTAAAGGGCACCCAGCCTCTAGGGACCCCTCCTCCCTTCTTCCTTTCCCTGACACTCCTTATACTTTTGCCTAACTCACACTGTGCTGGAGCCACTAACTAGAGCAGCCCTGGAGTCATGCCAAACATACAGTGCAGCCATGGGACCAAACCTAGCACCTCAGTTCCCACTCATTTCCCTGGGCAGTCAAATAGCCCAATGTGGTGCCAATGGGACCCTGTTTCCCCTCTCTGTTCCATTTAATCTAGTTTGCTAGAACCAACCACTTCCCCAGTTCAGAGGCACTTTCACTTCAGTTGGCAACTGCCCACCCCCCACTTACTATTGTCCTTTGGAAGTCAAATGTGGAGTGTGGTGAAAGCTAGCTCCTCTCCCCTACCCCACCACTGACTTCCTCTTCCATATGATTTACAGGGTTAGGGTATTACAGGGTATAGGGAAGCAGACAGGTCCCTGGTTATCTGTTCTAGTGTGTCAACTTAGATAGGATTTGGCCTCCCAATGCCCATCCTTTTTAGAGTTATTTAGGCTTGGTAATGATTGGAGGATAAAGAGATGTTCAGTCATTCTTGTATCTACCTCCCAGATTGGGCCTGTTACAAACTCAGTCCCAATAAGCCTTGTCCCTGAGTTCAGGGACTCAGTTTCTCCCCAGGGTGGGATGAGGGAGATTGTGCCTTCAAAAGGCTTCACTATCATTCTGGAAGGCCATTGGCACTTTTAGTCAGCCAATGCTGGGTAAAAGATCCTGCCCCGATGCCTTATATGAGCCTAGGCTTGTCTCAATTGAGCTCTATGGGCAGAAGTACCCCTTGTAGTTCCACATTCCTGGTTCCTTCTCTGTATCTACCCATGCCCCCTCCAATCCACAAATTCCCCACAGTTAGAATAATAGGGATAAGTACCCAAAAGCTCAGCCACCCCCAACCACTGCTCTTGCCAAAAGGGAGGAATGTTCACACCTGCCTTCAGGATTTTCTCAGCCAGGAGCTCTGGGCCACTTCCCCTATCAGAGTTACATGGGCCACAGCTCCTGCCTCACAGCAGTGTGGGCCTTGATTATATGGTGAGCCCTAGATCTTGACACCAGTAGGCTCAATTGGGAAGTGGTTAGCAGAAGCTGCATGTGGTGAGAGAAGCCCATGCCTCTGGTCCTTCAGTTTACTCAATCCTCTCAGGTGCCCAGTAGCCCCTTCCCATCATCCCCATCCAAGGTGGTGACTGGGCCCTACCTCTGACAAACCTTTAACCAGGTCTTGTCACCAGCTGTGGTGTCCCTTGGAGCTACATATCAGAGAGCTGCTGGGGATTCTAACCTGGTCCCTTCAACACCCCGACCCCTTGCTCTCAACCCAGAAGTGGCCTCCTCCTCTCTGTCTTGTGTGCTCTTTTTCTTTCTACCAGTATTATATATTCTAGTGATATCTAACTCAATATTGATTTCTGCCTTTATTGCTAATGCACCATTAGAAGATATTAGTCTTGGGGCAGGATCATTTTGGCCTCATTCCTTTACCTGGGAAGCATATACTATATTATAAAAGGATACTTTGCCAGAAACAGTAATGTAAGAAACTTTCAGTATTAGTGATATTACCTGTCACTATAAGTCATACAATCCATTTTTAAAGCACTTGGTATTTGGTTTTATTGTTCCTGTTTGCCTTCTCCCTAGGGTTCAGTCCCCCCTGGGGCTATCCTTTCCCTCCATGCAGTGCCCCTAACTGAGAGCCTTCCTCAATCCCTGCCCCCCACCTGACCCTGGGGAGTCTTGTGTGCATTGCTGTGAATTATATTGATACTCACTTGGTGATATGCCCTGTTTTGGCTAAATTCAAATCTGGAATTGTGGGGCAATCTAGCTGCCTTAAGGGCAGTAACCCACCCCCAGGGAGGCTGGGGAGAAAGGTTAGATTTTATATTCAGGGTTTTTTTGTGTATTTTTGGGTTTTTTAAAAATTGTTTTTGGCAGGGTTTATGCTCAACCCATGTTCTATTTCAGTGCCAATAAAATTTAGGAAGACTTAAAAAAAAAAAAAAAAGAAAGATGATGAGGCATCATAAATACACCTTGATTAGAAAAACATATGGGATAAAATGCCACATTTATGTTATCCTGAGTATAGGACACTCTGGATAAAGCTAAACAACAGACAATAACAAGATTTATGATGGCCAGAGACTCAGGGCAACTAGGAAAGGGAGGTCTTTGGGGTACTGAATCTATTCTGTAACAAACACATAATGGTGGCTATTCTAGATTATGTTTTTCCCATACTTAAACAAATGCAAAGCCTGGCACAATGGTGCATAAATGTAATTACAGCAGATAGGGAAGCTGAGAAGAAACAGGAAGATCACATGTTCAAGGCCAGACTCAGCAAATTAGCAAGGCCCTGAGCAACTTGGATAAACCCTACCTCCAAATCAACCACAACAACCTTATTTGTCATGAATTCTTTCTTTTTTTCTTAATTTTTTCTTCTTTTTTCTAAACTCCCATCATTGCTACCTTCCTGGCTTTGTTTCTAGGACAAGATATCCCACAACCCTCTCCATATTTTTTTTTCTCACAACCAAAGTATTTAGATACCAAAACTCATTGTTATTGGTGTGTCATTACTTGGAGCTGCTTCATCAGATAGATTTGAAAAATTTATATTTCCATGCACAAATAACATCAGTTTAGTTATTTATTTTATGTAAGACCCTACCTTAGTGGGGTACATGTGAGAGCCTTTAGATTTGTTTGCCTGAATGCTGTTCAAATAGCATTTGACCTTAGAAAATGAGAGCTAGAAACACAAAAAGTTTCCATATAGATGCTGCTTATTTACCATTGTTTGAAATTGGAAGAAGTATTAGTTTTTCCTTTAGGTATGCCCTCTGAGCAACACAGGTTCTGTCAGACTTCATATACAACACCAAAATTATCACTCTACTAAAAAATGAGCTAAATCTGTCTGTCCCATATAATCTCATCTTGGAAGTCTTAGCTCCAAATCTGAATGGAAGAGAAGCATTGGAGACTCTGAGGTAGGCACTGGAGGAATACATTTTTGACGTCTGACTTTTACTGCTTCATAACCAAGACACAGGTATGTATTCCTAATGTGCTACAGGACTTCTTTGAACTTCCATAGCACAACAATTTATGTGAATTCTCAGTATTTCATTTTAAATTGATAGTAGTAATATAATTTATAATATCAGAAATGTTATTGTCTTACATGAATGATTTTTTCCAGCATAAAGATTCACATGGTATAATAATTTAAAACATTGGCATTTTCTAGCTTTACATTACTTTTTTGAAGTAGAAATATTTAAAAACCACTTTTTCCAATTCCTAAGCTCACAGACTCATCTGCTAAAACTTCTATCTAATATTTTCTTATTTTGAATAGTAACCTCATATTAAATGTGTAATATGCATTTACATGAAATAAGAGACATTGCATTCTTTAAAATGGTTTTTGGTACACTGTAACAGAATTATTTTATCTTGTTCTTTACTATAGCTTAGATATTTAATAGAGGTGCATTTAAATGTTTTAAAATGCCCTAGTGATGCAGGGAGAGAGCAAAATAGTAGAATAAACTTAAGTTTATAATAAAAGAAAATATACTATTTTTTTCATGATTTGGCATAGTGATATTAGAATACACAACCATAGGCCCAGCATTCTGGTTACAGTTTATTATTTTATATATCCGAAAACATTGTTTCTTTATATCTAACATGGATCTGGATTGCAAATATTTTAGTTGATCTTGTAGCTTTAGAGTTCTTCCTTATGAAGGCAGAATCCTTGAGAAAGAACATAGAATTTGACAATAGAATTTTCCAATACTAGTCTTTGCTTTATGTAGATACACTGAATTTTGTAATTTTAAAAATACCAAATATATGAATACACACTAAAACACTAGAGTAAATTAAAGTTTGTGATCAAATAAAAACCTGCTACTTTTTCATGACATGGCAGAGTGCTATTATTACAGAAAACCAGAGGCTCATTTAAATTCATACTGCTAACTTCCCCCTCTATTAAACAAATTTTTTTCTTGATACTGACAAATTTTTAGAATTCTTTTCTTATACCAGCTGTTTTATGAGCTTTAGAGATATTCTTTACTAATGTATAATTATTTAAATATTTAATAAAATTATGAGAATTTTCAATAAGCAGAATTAACTGGATATAACTTTACTAGGTACATATATGAATTTACCACAGTGAATAACATCATCAAATAAATTAACAAAAGTTGGGTTCCAATTAGAATGAGGTATATTCCATGCTTGTATAATTATACCAAAGTATATCCTACTGTCATGTATAAGAGACCCAATAATAAAGAAAAGGCTTATTTTACTTTTTAATATATTTAATTTTTTTTATATCATGGATTGAACCCAGAGCCTCACAAGTGCTAGGCAAGCATGCTATGACTGAGTGACAACCCCAGCCCCTTGCTTATTTTAAATATATAAATGCTTCTTAAACTTAAATGGCAAATTGGTTTATTATAATTTCAATAATTTTTCTGCCATGAAGAATAGCAATTTACAATAACCTAGAGAAAATATATTTTCTTTTTTCATGAGAACTATTTTCTCTTCTACTTTCAATCCAAATCTTGACTGATGGTGTTCTGAGTTAATTTTTTTTTCTCAAAAATATTTTCCAAGTGCAGTTTAAATCCAGTCACATTTGCCTATTCATCAAGGTACATAAATCAAAACCTTTAGGAATTTGTTTGATTTAGATGGAGAAGAAAATGGTAATTAGATCATAAGAGTGGAGACATTTTTCACACTGGTTTGCAAATATCTAAATACTGCCATTGCTGGGGTAAAAATGGGAGTTCATAACCCACTTGAGTCAAATCTATGAAAGATGATATGTCATGAGCTTTGTAATGTTTTGAACAACCAATTAAAAAAAAATTAAATAAATAAATAAATAAATACTGCCATTGCTGAGAGCCATAGCCAAGTAGGAATGACACATGGCATTTTTGGTGATGCCAGGAAGCCATTGAGATGAAAATGGTTATGTTAAGATGTATATTCAATTGGATCTTAGACCCCTGCTGTCTGCCTAGGCCTGCTACTTTGGAGCTCTCAAGGGGATTCCCAGAGAGTTCCCATTTTGGGGGATTTCCGGGTGGTGTGGTGTGTCCCTGGAGAAGGCCCGGTGCATGTCCTTGGCGGGAGTTTTGGAAATACAGTTTGTTCCTTCTTGAGTGGCTTGTGATTTAGTGCCCAGCCAGACTGCGGCAAGCCATTGGTAGGAGAATGACTTTAAGTTTGAAAACATGGGCAGATTTTGTAAAGAAGAAACAATGCCCTGGGGGTTTCAGTGCCTCAAAGAATATGATGTAAGAGAAGTTACAT